ATTTTTGGCCATTAAGCTCGAGTTTTGTATGAAATAGGTAGCTCGAGCTCGTTACTTGGCCAATTTTTGGCCATTAAGCTCGAGTTTTGTTTGAAATAGGTAGCTCGACCTCGTTACTTGGCCAAATTTTGGCCATTAAGCTCAAGTTTTGTTTGAAATAGGTAGCTCGAGCTCGTTACTTGGCCAATTTTTGGCCATCAAGCTTGAGTTTTGTTTGAAATACGTAGTTCGAGCTCGTTACTCAACCAATTTTTGGCCATTAAGCTCGAGTTTTCCTTTTTTTTTGGGGATCGTGAGGTCTTGCATGGATAGTGAGTACTATACCCGACCTCAACCTCTACTTGCTTTTGATATGAGGGATTTCGAGTAGCCTAGGTCGGGGTCATGTGGTCGAGTGTGATTTTCGAGTACAAGTAGCATGCGCAAAGCACGACATTATGCTAATTTAATGTATAGCTAGCTACATACGCGGAGCACGATCTTACGCTAATTTAATGTATTAGATGTATGCGCGGAGCACGACCTTACGCTAATTTAATGTGTTAGCTGCATAAGCGGAGCACGACCTTATGCTAATTTAATGCACTAACTGCATGCACGGAGCACGAACTTATGCTAGTTTAAAGTGTTAGCTGCATGGGAGGAGCACGGCCTTACGCTAATTTAATGTAAACTCTTAGTATATGCGTTCGAGGTGAGTTTTTAAATGTCTTATAAAATAACGTAAAAGTACATGGGCGCGTAGGTCTTGAAAGAAAAATAACTTAGGGTAATGCGAGCTCGAGCTAAAAATTACCAAAAGAGTTTAATCCTAACATAATGCAGATTGAGCAAAAAAAAAAAACTCAAAAAACTAAGTAACTTAGATACAGGGGAGCGTAGCCGTCTATTTTTCGGTTGTCATTGTAGCATCAAGATCTTGACCAATGGTAACTTTTCCACCATGCTCAAGCTAGACCTCATCCATCTCCTCTATTGGAGCAGGCCTTCCACGGTGCTCGAGGTTAGGCTTGACCTCCGAAAGTCTCATGACTTCAGCCTTGATCTCCCGGACGCTAGTAACGTAACATTGTGTAGCCACTTCTTAGCTTCCTCGAACTATACCAACCCCATTGCTAGTAGGAAGCTTCACTGCCGGTGAAAAGTTGAGACAATCGCCTAAGAACTTCACTGCTAGGAAACTTCACTTCACTCCGAAAGTCGCATGACTTCAGCCTTATCTTGACTGACTTATGTGCCTAAGAACCCCCTCTTTATGAGAGCCTCGATTTCACGCTTTGGAGAGAAGCATCCTTCGGTCGTAAGTCCATGATCTCGATGAAAGTCACGGTACTTGCTTTTATCACGAGCTTCAGGTGGAGCTCGTAGTCTTGGTAGCCACATCAACTCCTTAAGGTCTTTGATT